CAATTTTCCTTCAGTGTGTTTCTGACATGATTAATTCAATTGGTACTACACAAATCCTCCCCCCAACCCCCAACAAACAAGGCCCTATATAACTTCACTGAAACCACCTCTGTAATCAGATTCCACTTCAAACAAGAAAAATAACCTAAATATTCCTTTAAATTTAGTCTTATGCTGTAGTCCAATTTTATACTTTTTAAATTTTTTCCAAAAGCCATCAATAAGTATGCAAGTGAATGATAATAATAGTATTATAATATTTCTTGCTCAGCTTATGTGTTTCACAATAACTCTGTGAGGCTGGTATTACTGTCATTCCCATTCTATAGATTAAGAAACTCAGGCAGAGAAAGGTGATCTCATTTTCCTAAGAGTCACTCCTAGTGATAAATCATCTGAGACTAGAACTCAAGTATTGAGAAAACAGAGAAGTGTCTTCCAAGCAGGATATAACAACCATCCAAACAAACCAACTAATTTTTTTTTCTAATCTTCCTAATTCAGAGTTTCCCAGCTTGTAAGAATTCTGTTACCTTAAACTTCATCAAATTAAAATAGTAAACTGAACACTGTTCTGCTCTTGTCCCTCTGAGGTTTGAATTTAAGTAATAAATCTGATAAGCTATGACTATTTCCTCATGGATACTCTATAAACAATGCCAGGAATGGCCTCCACATAAATAATGATGCCACAAGTTATTGTTACATAGACCAAACATCTAGGTTTTCCTCATATATGGAAAGTAAGACTCAGTGTATTCAGAGGCCAAAATAAAAGTGCATTTTCTACAAACATTTTGAAAACTCTCTGCAACCAGTCTCCAACATGTTCTCTTAATCCTATGTCAACTCTTAGTGTGACTATATTCGCTTCCAAATTCTCACAAAGACCATACGTGGCAATTTTTCTGGAATTACTCAGTTATTCCAGTAAGCTAAGTTACTAGATCTCAGGCTGCTTTCTGCATTTTAAAAAAATCATGGAGTATTCTTTTGTTCCGAGGATTCTGGAACCTCCCCTCTGATTCTGAGTTCTCAAAAATTACAGACCGTGGCATTGGGATTTCAGCCTCAAGGTCTTTAGAAGTTATGAAAACGTGATATGTATTGTCATATTTCCATTCTAATACCAAGGACAAAAATTGGGCTTCTTAGTCATCTAAATCAGTATTTTAAAAAGAATCCCCTTCTACTCTATTAATTATAAAACAAATACATATATATATCTAGTAGGAAACCCCTTTGAAATTTGGGGCAGCTGGTACAGCATTTGGATTTGCCATGCAAATATATTCAGGGATAGCAGGATCTACAGATAAAATGCATGGTTTCTACTTAAATAGAGTGCCACATTAGATATTCAAAACTCTCCAGCAGAAGGTGTACAGAGTCCTAACAGACATAAAATACTCGGATTATCTAATACATACATGAATACAATATTTGACCTCTAATCTTAATTTCAATTAAAATTTATGTAAAGGTAAATATAGTGAATGCTACTTTGTTTTCCAAAGCTTTCACAGAAATGAAATGTTCTGTGAGATTTCTTAGGGACAGATTTTTCTTGTATAAAATTTTCAGGTGGTGTCATTTAATCATCTTACTTACCGAATCTCTAGCTGACAAAAGCCATGTTCTAGTTGTAATTTCACATGTTCTTCTAAAAAAAGCAAGTAAGAATAATTTTTTCCAAGTACTTGTTCCAGTGTTCTCTGTTCCTCTAAGGATAGCTTTATTGTTTAATCTTTGCTTTTACGGGGACAGTTTCAGGTTTAATCTATAGTTTTTACACTGAAGAGCCTGATAAAAGGAAATTTGCAAGCAGCTCAGTCTTAAGATGTAAAGATTATTCAAAGTGCCAAACCTTTCAGTTTTAGGCTGCAAGGTGGGAAGGATTTTTAAACTGAACTTAATGTCAAGGGCGCATACTTCTCACTCCCAGAGACTTCTTGCTGCTTTGGCAATGTTTTTTCAGAAGTGCAGGAGAAAGCAGGGGCAGTGAAGGAAGTCAGTGCGGGCAAAAGTCATGAAGGCAAAGTCCTGATAAGTTTGGAGAGGAAAGAAGAGCGTTTGGCGTGAGGTCAACGGGTTAAATCTGATTGAGTGATCAGAGTTGGGGGGGGTGCACGTGGAGACTGAGTATGAGAAGAAATGGGCTGAAACAGATTTGAAACAAAACAAAAGAATGTAATGAAAACAAAAGAGGAAATGACATGTTTCTAAGGAGATTCTGGGCTAGGAGGTATGTGGCATGTGAGTAGTCAGGGTCAGGGAGGACTTGAAGATAATGTCACTCAGTGGCTAGGGGGATATTCTTACTTTTCAAATTTGTTTCTCATTATTCAAAATTCTTTCAAAAATCAGGTATACTTTTATCACTAAGGCTTGTCATCCTAGCTCTTCCTCAGAACACTTCTCAGAATTCCAGTGCACACATATCCAGTCTCCACTGCCTTAGTACAGATGCTCCTGGGCCATTATCTGCACATGCTTCTCTCAGATACTCATGAATGTAGTTACTGGGCTAAAGATGCCAATGCCCCCAAGAACATGAGCCTCATGGCAACCTAACTTCAACCCACTATAGTTTCCTTACTAATTTATATTTGTAGAAGGTTAAAAAGCTCTATGGCTCCATGATAATCTCTTCATGCACTAAATACCCTAGTGAAATTCTCTCTCTTAGCAGAAGTACATATCTTCCATAAATCAATTATCCAGTTCCTAATGGCTATTCCACTAGATCTGGTATGCTTGGAGAAGGGTAGAAAGCACTGGAAAAAAGAACTAACTCTAATGGGAGTATCCAGAATAGTGATTCTTGCTCCCACTGGCAATACAGTAGAGCATGTATGCTGCCTGGGTTCAAATCCTGCGTTTGCCCCTTACTACCTAGAGGACTGGGGGAGTTATTGACCCTCTCTCAGCCTATGTCCTCATCTGTGGGATGGAGATAATAACAAATCTTCCTTCATAGGGTTATTATGAGAAAGAAGTTTATATAGATATTTTGCTTGGCATGATATCCAGTAGTTAATTGTGTCCAAAAATATTGTTTAAATTAGAATGCTGTCTTTAACATTCTGTGTTGGAACTCTAATAGTCTAATAAATCTTTCTCAGAGGCCACAGTTACTTTGAGGTAAACATTTTGCATTGGAAAATTTAGGGTCTCTTTGAGATTTTTAATGCCAGAATCAGTCCACTAGAGTTGAACAGATCAGCCCCTACTTCAGCAAGAAATGAACCTGCAAGAATAAAGAATCACAGCCATGGAAGGGCAGGGAGTGGAAGCAAGATTAGTGGCTCCCACTTTGTCTCATATTACAATAAATGCTGGCCAAGTCCTTACTGTCCTTCAGAAGGCCACACAAAAATACTTCCTTGCAATTAATCAAGGAAAAAGGGACAACTCCTGACCATTTTGCTTGGAGATTTAATATGTCACAATGGGGTTTGCAAAATAAGGAGCAGCAGAGCAGCAAGAATTTTCCTTTCTCGTGGTATTTCTCACATTTTCTCCAACAAATAATGTGCTTTGGTATCAAATATTTTCCTTAATTTACTGAGATTATTCAGTTGAGTAGCTTCAAGAAACCCAGCCATTAGGATGACCCAAAAGATTCCTTCGAGATACTTAACCCATCTTACCACACCGTAGGAGCTTAACTGTCCACTTCAATAAACTTATTGACTATGTTAAGATATACCAATACTTTTCTGACAGATTCTGTATCTAATTCTCTTATTCCTACTAAATTTGAAAGTAAAATAATTGAGAGCTAGACTATCATTCTTCAATTAGAAAGCAAAGGTAAAATTAACTTGAAAATAATTAGTTGAAAGATATTCACCCGCACCCCCACAGACTACCTGAGCGAAGAAGCATTAATATTACCCAAATGATTAGGTTCAGGAAGAAACAAGAGCTGACATGGACAATAGCCAAAGAGACAAAGGCAGAGAGTTTTAGCTAATGAAGTTTGCAAGGGAGGAACTCTAGCCCTGTGGCACAGGACAAGAGGAAGCATTTTCTCAGAACAAATGTCATGATTTGAGAAATATAGAAGTGTATAACTTCTGAGACATCCAAGTTTTTATTCCAGAATTCCAAGACTCTATTTCATGAAAAAGACAGCTAGAACTTATACCCATGAGAAAATCACTGAGTGGTCACTGCTTGAGATGATTTGTAGTATAGGCAATTTCTAGAAAAGAAACAGAAAATCTCAAACTCTCGGCTCAAACTCTAAGTACTGTTGAGACAAATATTGTTTTCTCCTTTTTTTTCCCCCGTCTAAATTAGTCACTTTTCAATTCCACTTTTAGCGTCTTTGGCTCTTCAGTAGTGGCTTTTCAAGTCAATCAATTTCAGCTCATTCATAAAACCAAGCAAGCAAGATGAAAGATTTTCACAAAATCTTTCAAGAGGCAGTACCTGGGTGTTTGGATCCCAAATTCAATCTTTTCTAAAATTCATATTAGAAAAAAAAATTCCATTTAGAGTCTAGGTTAGGTTGGAAAGGAGTTCCTACAAAGGGTAAGGATGTCCATTTACCATTTCGTTTTTCTCAGTAATCTTTGTCTTTCTTAGGGGAAAAAAAAAGTGACAAATGGCAAAAACTTATTTCACATGGCCCAGTATCATTCCTGTTTGCCAGAGGAAGGCAGAGCAATCAGTGCATCTGGAGGTAATATACTAGGAGGTAATATACTAGTTGTCCAAATATTTCTTCGGAAAGTAGGGACATACGTCATAGGAAGAGTCATCCCGGCATACTCCAGTTGCTCACGGCAACCAGAGCAGCACATGGCGACCCACTGTGGTTTGGATTTCCAGGTTGCCTTCCATTGGGGAAGAATGAGTCATACACATGGTAAATGGAGTTAATACAGTAAAGCCAATATAAACACTGATGTTTTATCTTCTGACAGCATATGAATGTGCAAAGCATTAAGTTATAGGAGAAAAGGGGCTAATTTTAGATTTGTTCCTAGCCCTCTCCATGTGAATGGTGTCGCTGTGAGCCCAGCAATGAAGTTCACTGTGTTGTAGCAGACTGCGCAGTTCCTGAGTGTGTCAACCCAGTCTATGAACCAGAACAATGTTGTCCTGTCTGCAAAAATGGTAAGACCATACTGCATTAGCTTTCAAAGAGGGGTTAGTACAAACTACAAATATTTCACCACTGCCCACCATTCGATATAAGACCCCTCTAAGATCTGCCTGGGGTTCTTCAATATGAGCATGGATAATTTGTACTTTTATCCCATCTTAACATAAAAATAAACCAGCAATGGGTGCATCATGAAGCTTTCCATTTGGGGAATTAAAGCTCTTATAAGCTGACTTTGTTGTGATCCCTATTATTTACTGTTGATTTATAGGGAGGATATTGGAAAGAACACAGAACCATCTTTTTGTAATGACTTAATTTCTCTCTTGTGGAGGCTATGAAGCAGTTCATCCCATTTCATAGTTCATAACTCAGGAGAGGCAATAGGGTAAATACCAGGTATTTTGCTTTGGGCATAAAGAAAATTTTAGGTTTTCAATTAAATTATCAAAGAAATTATCAAAGAAATACAGAATTCAAACATTAATGCACTTAAGTTGAGGTAAGAAAGACTAGAAGATTTGAGACTTTTATTCTAGGTTTTTATTACCCTGAATCTTACTCTCATAGTAATTAGACAGAGGAGAACTTGATTTATATGATTATGGGTTCCTTGTTGACCCTCATGGAATGCGGAGGTTGAAATGCGCTGATGATGCTGGTCACTCAAAATCAAAGTGATGCTACAGAGAAGACAATGCAATGCCATTAGACCCAGGACAGCATATCAGCAAAGCTAGTATCACGCTCTTCCTACTAGTCACGTACTACCAAAAAAATAAAGCTACACTGGGTAACAATTCACAAATGCCCCCTCCTGTCATTAATACATGCTTGAAAAAGTAGTTCTAGCTCTTAATTAAGCTGAGGTCAGTCTAATGCTGAATCCCCGTGTGCTTCCTTGGATTAGCAACTGCTCATCCTCCTCTATCAACCACTTCTTCTTCTTTTTTTCTTTGTCCTGAATTTGCCATTATGTTAATTCACCTGCTAATCTTTGTCTTTATAGAATTATAATTACTAAAAAGAGGTATCCTTTCATTTAAAGAGAAAAAACAAAAGCAGTTCTGTTGTTTTTATAATAATTTCTGTGTTTTAGTGTCTTCCAAAGGACTTAGGAAGAGCACGTGATATTTTTGGCTGACACAGTTTTACTATTTCTGATCATAGGAATCCACTGAGTTGAATATTCAACTGCACACCTGCCTTCTCTTTTTATTCTTATTCCTCTCATCCAACTGACCTCTGTCATAGTGACCATCTTTTCTGACTTAGAAGGTGGAAATAAATATCATCCTGAAGTCCTAACCTATCTAATATATGTAAAGATATACAATTTAAGACTTTATATTTTTTAGAGGATTTTATAGAAACTGGAAAAGATATCGGGAAGAACAATAAGATGATTTAATGGTTGAAAAATAGGACTTATGAGGACAGACTCAAGGAGTGAGCATAATTTGTCCTGGAGAAGAGAAATCTCAAAGGAGACCTAACTGTCATAAAGTATATAAATGGTTAGTCTAAAGTGGAAGAGGACCTGTTATTTTTCATTTTCTCCAAGGACAGAAGGAAGAAAAAATCAACTACCTAATCAGTCTTTAAAAATAGGATTGACAAGTCTTTGACTGAAGACTGTTTTTTTGTTGTTTTTTTGTTTGTTTTGGGGGTTTTTTGTTTGTTTGTTTTTTTCCTAGAAGCAACTGTCTAAACAGGTCCTTGAGGATCCTCTCTTCCCTAGGTTCCCTTGGTTGGCTTTGTTTCACATTTATGGTAAATAAAATTGTGCTTATAGTTAACCTCATCTGGATATACTTAGAATACTCATAGTAGAAACCATATTAGACCATATGTGCTCTAATATATATATCTAATAAGACCATATATGGACCAGAACACACAGGGTTTACACATGCACTACTAATCCTCCTAGTGACCCCACACCAAAGCCTAGAATATATCCAGAGTTAATGCCTACATCAAATGTCAGATCAGCCACTATCAACTTATCACCTTTAATTTGATGTTACCCAAGATTATTTGACTTCTCTCCATGTGCCAGAATAGAAATCTGTCTTCAAATGAAACCCTATTTATACAAAAACATCATATAATAAATGGACTTTAATTGTTTGATTAATTAATTAGTCACCCATTATATTCCTGAAACACATGTTAAGAGAACAAGATTAGTTAAGTTTTCCAGAATTTTGTTCATGACACACTATAGTTTCTATTCCTTTTTTGCCATTTCCAAGCAAACTTTTTTTCTTTTTTTAATAAGGGAAATGAACCTGAATTAGACTTGGTAGGAAGATAAACTCTGATTGTAATATTATAACATATTATCTTTTTTTTTATATGACACTAATTACTCACTTGTGCTCCAAAATTGAAGTATAATCATTGTCAAAGAAAAGCATATTAAGGATCACTGAAGAAACTTTATGACCACCAATGATACTGGTACTTTTACTGAGAGAACAGACTGAGCTCCATCTCACTTGCTCTCATTCTAAGCTTAGCCCAGAAAACAGAAACAGATGACCTATGTGTAGAAAAGCAGGGGTGGAGGTCAAGGGGATTGATGTTTATCATGAGAGAATACAACTGGAATAATTCCCTAAATTTCCAACACATGGTAAGCTTTTTTCATTCTTTATAACAAGATCAATTTGCTTATTATAGTGTAAACTCTTCGTGTGCCACCAATTTCTTAGATTAAAAAAAAGATAAAAATCTACCCTATGGATTCAAGGTGCAGGCAATAAATCTTAATTTGTAAACAGCCCTATAACATTTTCTACATTTCTTAAATCTTCATAAATGTTGAACATTTTTAGTTTGCATAAATGCTGATTATCTTGGCTGCCAAATACTTTGCTTTTGCATACTAACATCAATTTCTCTGCCTTCCTGAATTATAACTTGCCAAGAGCAAGAGGCTTTAAATATATAAAAGTTTAAGATGATAGAATTTACCACACCTGACCTTAAAATTCAATATTCAGCTAATATAAAGTCTTCATTCTCAGATTGCTTAAGAATAAACAAAATAATAAACTTCAGGGGAAATGTGAACGATTGGGCACAGACAAAATAAGAGGAAAAAGAAGAAGGTACTTATTATTTGGCAAGGACTGGGAGGAATTGGCAAAGGAATTTATTGCTTTTTAAAATATGATTAAGCATTTGCTTCTCTGCAAGAGCTAGCAATCTAAATGCTTTCCTGAAAAATATGACATTTCCTGACTGTCCATCTTTCCCTCAGATTGTGTTACTTTGACCTGTCTTTCAGCTCAAGTCTTTTCTATGTGAATTAATGAATATTTTTCATGGTTTTCTGTCTTTATAGTATAAAAAAGTAAAGTAGCACAGCATTTGCTTTTAAAAAATTCCAGTTTTGAGCATCATATAAATACTTTGAATATTCGGTTAGTGAAAATACATTTTATTGAAAAAATATTTGTTCATTAGAGCATCCAAATAACTAGCTGTATTTTTCACATTTGATCAGCCAGTATGTCAGTGAATTCCATGTTTTCACTGGGATATATAGTCAGTCATTACTAATGGTTCTGAAGGAAAAGTCACTTTGTGAAAAATTGGAATAGACAGGAAGTATCCTCAGAATCCACCATACACACTAAGTGAGAAGTTTCCGTATTGTTTCTAGGTAAACTGAAGGACCTATTCAATATCTTAAATATTTAACTCCTTTTCCCTTAGCCTCTTCTAGTTTAATAGTGACACAAATAAGGCAGGAAATAGACAAGGCAAAAGAGAAAATGGAAAGGAAGAAGACAATGGAGGGTATGGGAAGTGCAGAAATAAGAGAAGGAGGGGAATTTAGAGGTGCCTGGAAGCAAATGTGTGACACACATAAGTGTTAATATCTCTAATGTACAATGAGCTCCTTGAGATAAATGAGAGAAAAACTATAGGGAAGGAAATGGGCAAAAAGTATAGAAAGGAAATTCACAGAAGAAAACGAAATGTGTAATACATATATGAAAATATGCTCAAACTCACAAGGACCAGGGACATAATAATTATAAAGATGAGATACCAACATCGTACTGATAATAATTTGGAATTAATAATACCCCAAATCAGCAAAGATATTTTAAAAAGAGGTGAGAAAATGTCAAAACAACTTTTAAGGAGGTACTTTCCATCAAAAGTTTCATGAAACTTTGAAGTCAGCAATCTTTCCTCTTGTACTTTTCCCCACCTTCACCCACTACATTCTTACTACATTTTAAGAGCAAAATAGTGAAAGAAAACCTAATAGTCTTTAATGGATTAATGAAATACACTGCAGCCTTTAAAAAGACCCTACTGACATTCTTTAAATGCTATATAAAATAAGCAAGGAATGTACAGTAAACTATATATTGTTTTATGCATAACATAGTAATTTGTGTCATATATAATACATACATTTTAAGTGATATACATTTAAAATATTTGTAATTAATGTACAATTTTAAGTAGATATTAAAGTATTTATGTATATAGGAAAATAACTAAGTAGATACACAATAGAGCATTAGTAATGATTTAAAGGGTGCTTTTAGGGAAAAGTGAGAAGGTAAAGTGGGGAAAGACAAGAGCTAATCTCTTTAAAACTTTAAGCTTTACAGACTGATCATAATAAAAACAACAGAAAAGTATACAAACAGCTCACAAAATACAAATGTTCAAAAAGTATTAAAAAGCTATTCAGCTTAATAAATCAGATTTTTTTTAAACATTTAAGTCCTTCTTTGTTGTTTTTGTATAAGGTATAAGGAAAGTTCTGGAAGAATATAGGCCAAATTTTTAACAGTGATCCAATGATCAGAACAAAAATAAAAGTGCAAAGGTAGAAGCAAAAAACTTTGATGTTTTATTTCATCAGTCTTTTTACTGAAGGAATTTTCAAAAAAATAATCTTTTATTTTCATAATTTAGGAGGGTGTATCAAACCATTAAATAAATGATAATTCTAATGTTAATTAAACTCTTC